TCAATTAGCATGCCCTCTGCCTCCCGCCTCCCACGGGAACCACTGTCTTGTGTGCCCTCCATTCCTGTGTCCAAACCTTGTAGCCTGCTCTTCCCGTCATTGAACGTTCTCCATGATCCCGGGCTTTACAGACCCAGTGCTTCTCTGCGTAGCTGTGCTAACATTCACTCGCCTTCTGTTGTACGTCTTTCCGTCCACCCCCTTCCCCTCATGTATGCGTGTTTCACAAATGTCTTTGTAGCTTATCCGTGAGCATGCATACTCATGTTTCATAGATTGTAATTTCCTAATAACTTGTATTGGTGCTGGGACCTGACCTGGTAGGGTTTCAACCTTTTCTTTTTTTTTAATATATTTTTATTGATTTCAGAGAGGAAGGGAGAGCGAAAGAGAGAGAGAACCATCAATGATGAGAGCATCATGGATCGGCGGCCTCCTGCCCGCCCCCTACTGGGGATCAAACCCGCAATGCAACCCGGGCCTGTGCCCTGACAGGGAATGGAATCCGGGACCCTTCTTCAGTCTGCAGGTCGACGCTCTATCCACTAAGCCAAACCCATTAGAGCTATTTTTATTTTTTAAAATAATTTTGAACTTTTCTGTAAAAAGCAACCCATGCCCGGAAAACTTAAAACAGCCTCAACAAGGATAAATGACTGCGATGGGTTGGAAGACAAGAAATGCACATATTACATCCTCCACCGGGGGCCGTTGGTGCCCAGGACCAGGGAGCCGCTGTTGCCTTCATTCTGAACGATTTAAGGAAAGGGAAGGCGTCGGGCGCCCCTCTTGCCCGACCTGAGCGAACTGCATCTCAGAGAAAGTTCTTTTTAGAAAAATCCAGCCAGGACAGGAGGAAGGAGCGGGAGGATGAGACAGACAAGCGCCGTGCAGCCCCCGAATGAAAGGATCCAGGCATCTGTCGTCCAGAGATGACCACCCAGAGGTTGGAGGGGGAACCGGAAAAGGAAGGGCCCCAAGTCCTCTGGACCTGGACCCCCACACTTAGTAGCAGGAAGGACCAGCGGCCACCTACGCTGGCTTCTTGCCCAAACACGTGGACACCCCAGAAATAGAAACCATAATTGTTACCAAACCAAAGAGCGAAAAATCGCATCTTCCTCCCCCGCTTACATTTTTCTGGATCCCTGGCGCGGCTTTCATATATTTATTGGCCGTATACTTGACCTTTTTTAAAAGTACACGTTTTAGTTGAAGTTGAGCAAACCAACAGGGAAACACACGGATCATGCGGCGTCTCCCCGTGGATCTACGCGGCGCACGGGCGACCAGCGCGCACTGGAGAAGTGGGACATCACTGCTTCCCCCGGGAGGCCTCCTTCGGCCCTTGCCATTCGCGGGGACCCCCTCCAAAATGTAGGGGTGCATTTGGCCTGTTTTTAAACTTGTTGTGAATGGGACCCCAGCATAGAGGCTCGCTCCTGATTGGCCTCCTTTGTTCACCATTATGTTTAGGAGATTCATCCCTTCTTGCTTTACAGAATGTTCTTTCACTCTCCCTAAGATAACCTCCAGTCAGGGGCACGTGCCAAGGTTGCAGACTCAGTCCCCAGTAGGGGGCATGCAGGAGACAGCCAAGCAATGATCCTCTCTCATCATTGATGTTTCTATCTCTCTTCTTCAATAAAAATATATTTAAAAAATATTTTTTAAAAAATGACTTTATGTTTTCTAAATGTCTAAAATAACTCCTGGTGTCTTCACCTTTTTTTTTTTTTTGGTAATGATATAATTTAAATGTTTGCCTTTAATGGTTTAACGCTTTTAACAGAAACAAAAAAAAAAGCGACACGATATTACCGTTCTGTTTGCAAGATAATTACAGGATTCAGGAAAACTATTATTTCCGAGTGCGCTGCAGACGGTGTGGTGTGTCATGAGAGTTTACAGCGAATAGATGCCTTCTCCTTTGACTCCTTTTTCCTGTCAAA